TATCCACTATTCAGGTGAATGTATTGATGTATGGTTGAATGATGATGATGATCATCATCAGGAACAACATACACATTGTAGAAATAACAATGATTTTCGATTATAAATTATACAATCGAAAGTTTTTTTAGAAACTTAAAAAAAATAAAATAAATTCAACAACCAATTTTGGATTTTTTTTCTTCGGTTGTTGATCATCATCACATATAACAAATACCAGACTAGGTTATTGTTTTGTTTTTTTTTTGATGACAGTAAAAAAATTAAACAATCTGGGTGTGATTATTTGTCGAAAGAGAAATACAGGTAGTTTGTTTCTTCTGTATCGATCAAATAAATCAACATACCATCATTGAATCATTTGGTCAGAGGAATATAGTGGCTTAAAATGTAGAGAGAGAGAGCCAGATTTTCAAATAATAGAATGAAAATAAAATTGAGCACAAGCTAATATTTGATGATGTTTCGACCAAATTTCCATCCATATTCATTGATGATGATTATGATGATTTTAAAATTGTCTTGTTTGGTTAATTTTCGTTTTCGTTAGCTGTTAAAATGTTGAACCGAATCAATAAAATGTATAAAAAAGCAATGTCTATGGTATTTATCAATAAATTTTACAACAACAACAAAATAAAATGGAAAACGGAACAAGAAAAAAAATTCACTTGTTTTTCCTAATCATTTTCATCGTCGGTTATCATTTTTCTTGTGAATTTTCTTTAAATTTAAAATTTGACTATGAATTTTTGGAAAAAAATTGATTCACACCTGTATGCGAAAAAAATAAACGATAGATCAATGAATGAATGTAAAAATCAAAGAAATTTATTCATCATCGTTATGATGATTGAAATGAAATGAAAAAAAAACAACAACAACGAAAAAAATTGTCCAATATCTACCAATGTAAATCTTTCATTTCATTTATTGTTTCGGACATTTTCATACCACGAAGATTATTTCATTTTATTTTCACTATTTTTTTTTGCATAAAATCATTTTCTCATTTCAAACAAATAATAATTTAACCGGATCTAAAACGGAAGTAGAATTCCATTACGAATTGTTGGGAAATTTATGTCTCTGTCGAAAGTTGATGATAAACGAAAAAAACGATTTGAAAATTTTCTGATATTGATCTATTGAACCACAAATACAATACATATACATGAAAAGATTTTTCCCCAATGTGGTGTGTGTGTATGGGAAATATGACTGGAGAATATCATTTGAGATTTTTTCTGTTGTTTTGTTTTGTTTTCAATTTTTCTTCTTTATTTTTCATCGTTTACGATGGAAAGATTTTCTTTTTTCTCTTGTAAATGATGTGATGATCGAATGTCGGGTATTTTTGGATCCTTTAACTATTTGATATAAGACAGGGATAAAATATTTATGAAAAAAATAAAAATTTTAATTTTTCTTCATCTCTGAAGAATTTTTTTTCTGGTAAAAAAAATTAACCCAAATATAGATTAATAACTTGTTTAGACTGATTGTAATAATGTTTGTTTGTAAATTTTACCAACATCAATTGTCATCACAGTTTTTATTAAAAGTATTTTTTTCCTACCCGCTTTTCAAATTCAAAATGAATGAATGAATTACATTGAATCGAAAAGAAAAGTTCTGAAAAGTTCTTTTTTTTTTGTTAAATACATCATTAGTATTGGACATATATCATATCAAGGGATTGGTTAACCAAAATTATTTTTAGAAAAAAATGAGCAAACAAACAAATTTTTTCTGACATTTTTTCTTTGTTTGTTCCATATTATTTTCATTCATTCAACAAAAAAAACTAAAAAAACTTTGAATTTTTTCCATTTTTATATTTTGTCTTCATTCATTTATTTTGTTTTCACATTCATATAGTTGATGTGTTCAATCATTATTCAATCCATATGAATGAATGATAAAAGCAGAATTACTTCATATCCATCATTTTTGGTTGTTGTCAACAAATTTGTTTTTGTTCCATTCATTCATTCATTTGTTTTGTTTAATTTTCCTATGAAAAAAAACAACAAAACAAAACAATATTAATGATTATTATAATGAGGTTGATTTTTGTTTGATTATTAAAGCCAAAAAAATGAGATGAGCAAAACAACCAAACTTTTTTTGAAACAAAAAAGAAAAAGTTTCATTATAATGAATCTTCATGAACAACAATGTTTTTTGTTTTGTTTACAGACATTAATTTCCGTCTAATTTTGTGGTCATTTCTCTTTTGTAGATTTTATGTAAACAGAAAATTCATAATCTTTGATTATGATCATGATTTATGATTTCAATTTAATAACATCTAATGTGAAATAGGCTTTTTTTAATTAGAATTTTATCAATGCGTGGGACCACAATGTCCATGGTTAAATGAGTGTGTACAATCTTATTCCATGAACAATAATTATTGCTAAACAATATTCATTGAATGGAGAATTCTCTTCAACAAATTATCGATATCGATTGATTTGGTTTTTTTTTGAATTTTTTTTTTTGTAACCAATTTTATTATGACCAATGTCGTTGTACAATGTATGATCCCAAATATGAATCGAATGATAATTGAAATTTTATTCATTTGATTCGTAAGTATTGTTTATAATTTTTTCTAACTTATTGACCATATATGAATCTAATTAATAATTAATATAACAGTATTTCATATTATGATTTAATCGGAATGAATTTCAACAAAATTCGGAATGATAAACTTTTACTTCCTTCTTTTACAGACGCAGTTAGATCCCAGTAATGGAACAATAAGAAATCCTTTGTAATTACTAATGAAATGTGATGTGAATTATGATGATGATTGAATGAATTCACTTGAAAATTATCTATTTTACCAAATAAAGATGTAGCCTTTTTTTCATTGCAATCCAAAATAATTCATTAACATTTGAATTGATTTATCATGTCTTGACCATTGGTTTTGGCTTTGATTTTTCTTTCAAAAAACATTGTTATTTTCATTATTCATTCATGAAGATGGTTTTTATACAAAAAAAAACATGTTTTATTCATAAACATTAATGGTTATGAAAAAAATTATAAATTCATAACAATTGAATTTACAAACAACTAATTTTTTCGGAGAATCGTTGTTCTTTACCATTAATTAAATTTCTGTTAACATCAATCAAATTATAATGATCCTAATGATGATGATGATGATGAACGAACAAGTCAACAACAGTTGGTTAGTGTAGTTTTCAAGCTATAAAAGTAAATGACACATTCATATTGTGTATACAGTTATCCGTTATGTTATTCTATTATAATAATAATGATAATGATAATTTTGTTTTGGCGGGTAGAAAATTACTATTTCATCATAAATTCATTCATTCATTCATTCATTCGGATATGAATCCAATACGGAAAATTGTTTTCTTTTTTGTTGTTGTTTCATTTTCTTCCTTTATAACACAGATATCATTGAACGGTGGAAAAAAAACAAATCCAAATTAAGATGATGAAACATTACATGTGAAGCTCATAAGGATATTTTATATTGTCTTGAATTTTATTTTTATCATTTTCTCAAATGTACATAATAATAATATACCGCTATATTAATCCCCAAACGAAGATTGGTTGTTGCTTTTTTTCAGAGAAAATGAACAAAAAAACCGACTAACTTGTTTGTGAAATTTAAATTTAAGTTTTTTTCAGCAAAGAAAAACTGTCCATTGCTGCTCATTTATTCATCATCATCATCATCATCATCAACATTAATCAACAATATAAATGAAAAAATGAAAATCCTTACTCTGATTTCTTTGGTGAACATTATTTTACTCGAAGAAAAATCTCAATGAACTTCCTTACTCCCCTCAATTTTCATAGAAGAAAGACAGACATTCAAAAAAACGAGCATTTCGTTACCCAATTTATACTTTAAAAGTATTACAATGAGTATTTGCGGCCTGATGATTTCTTTCAGATTTAATTGAAAAATGATTAAGAATTCAAAAGAATTATATGAAAAATTGCAATTTCGATAGCCAATGTTCATCATCAGGAAATAGAAGATTATACTAATTAAAACTAGGCAATTATAATTATGAAAACAATGATGATAATTCTTCAAATTATCCACAACAACAACGACAACTCGAAAAAAAATGAAAAACGATTAAGCAAACATCCTTCATTTCATCTTCATTTCACTGCCTGGTTTGACCTGGAATTTGAAACTGAAAACAAAATGTTCATTTATCGTAAGAAGGCAAATTTTATCTGATCAAATATTTTGCGAGGTCAAATTTCACATTAAAAAAAATAGTTATCATTTTTTTCACATTCCGTTTGTTTGTTTGTTGTTGATCAATTGTTTTTCTGGCCCGAAATTTTTTTCCGTAAAATATTTTCGGGCCACACACGCGTTCAGGCTTAAGTGTCATCCTTTTTTTTTCTAAATACTGATTTGAATCAACATGTTAAAAAATTAAAACGAAGAAAAAAAATTCATGCAAAAACAAACGTTTCGATTATTATTTTCCAAACCTATTCGACCCGAATCATTTACAAAACAAAACAAAGCAAAAAAAACGATAAAGATTTTTCAGTTATTGCAAAAGAGATAAATTGAGAGCCACGAATAACACACAATACGAAAAAAAAGTTCTTGTATTATTTTGACTCGGGAAAAAATCGGGAAAGAGAGTCGGGTAAATCCTATTTCTTTCTTCTTCTTGTCGTTGATGATATTGAGGATTCACATGATGATGATGATGATGATAGCGTGATGTGACGATCATCACGACAACAAATGAAAATGAAAAATTTAAATAACCGAATGTTAAAAAAATGTTATTGCCTGAATTCGAAAGTGAGAAATATTGAAAGAGTGAAAGGAAGAGAGAGAGAAAAAAAGAAATTCAAACAAGAAAGTTCTTCATGACAATACCGAGAGATAATGAAATCATCATCATTCGCGGGATATAAAAACTTGACCATCACGATGATTCGGGCACCATTCGTTTCCATTCCATTATCAAATTCGTGTCATCACTAGTGTATTAGTGGTTATTTTTTTCAGTGTGCTGTATTTCTGTGTGTTCATCAATTTTCATTTCATTTAAATTATTTGAAAAAATTCTAAAAACCCAATCCAAAAAATCAAATAAATATGGCTTCATCAACGTATCGTAACCGTATGGCATCGGGATTATTTTTGCTTGCCATCATTGTATTGGAAATTGTATTGATTTCCGATAATATCACATCCGTTCAGGCTGGTAAAAAGAAGAAAATTATGAAGAAAATCAAAGAAATGTTACCAATGATGATGATGATGATGGTATGTATTGTGTTTTATTTGAATTTCTTTATAAAAAAACTTTTTTAAAATTTGAATTCTCAATTTTACAGGGCAAAAAGAAAATGATCATTCCAGTTCCCATACCTATTCCGTAAGTTTTTTTTTCTGTCAATTTTATTTCGTTTCCTTTAAATTTACTTTACGATCGATTACAATGAATCCCTTATCTTTCCTATTTATCCTGGTCATTTTGTTTGTTTATTTTTTTTCCTACCTGGTTGATGGTTTATTTATTAATTGTTATTGTTTTTTATTTCTTATGTTTTTTCCCGGTTACTTTATTCCCACATAACGATTGCATCTGTGTGTATTCGTGCATTTTTTTCATACATTTGTGTGCATACTTTTAAATGGTTATGTGCTTTATTGAATGTGTCCGCAAAACAATCAATATTTACCCAACCAAACCAAATAATTATCCTCCTGTTCTTCTGCTTCTGCTTCTTGTTCTTGTCCTTGTTATTCACCAAAAAAATCCTCCTCGAAATCTTACTTCTTCCAACTTGACCTTTTGACCATCTATCATTCTACTATTCTTCATTTCGAATGAATAAATCCTAAACAAAACAAAAAAAATCGAATTATCAATTAATATGATCAGAATGAAAGAAAGTGGTGGTTGTTGTTATGGTGGTGGTGGCGATTATGGCATGGGAGGCGGAGGAGGAGGTTATTAAAACCAACGAAAAAAATTGGTACCACTTATCCACAACAATCAGATCATTTAAAATCGTTAAATTTTATTTAGTTAATCATTATTAATGTTTTATTATTCATCAACCAAAACCTCATCATATTCCATATATTACCTTTCCTCATTTATTTTGTCTCATTTGTTTTTCTATTCCTCTCTTTCACTTTCTTATTCATCAAAACCAAAAAACATCAACAAATCAATGATCAATTTCATCGCGATCATGTTATTGATTTTCTCTCATCCTCTCCCTTCTTCTCTTCCTCTTCTTTCCATCTTACCGTTGCTTCTTTTTCTTCTTCGCTTGCTACCTTACTTCAAAATTTCATTTCTATAAAAAAATACTATCCTGTCAATCATTGATTGAAATGATTAAAAAAATCAAAACAAACTCATTTTATCATGTCTGAACAAACATAACATAATTAATTGGTAATATAATTATAATTTTAATTATTATTATTATTTTCTCGTTCAATCCAAACCGTGTCCATTTAATCACATCTTTCCCAAAAACCCTTTTATCCAATATGTTCTTTGCATTTATTCTTATCAATCCAAAAAAATTTCACATCCTTCATATTCTTCAATCATTTCAACAACAAAAAAAAACAAAATAAACAAAACAAATCAAACAGAATGAAAGATGAAGGTGGTGATAGCTATGGAGGTGGCGGAGGTTACGGTGGTGGAGATGATTGTGGTGGCGGTTATGGCGGAGGTGGTGGAGGCGGATGTGGTGGCAAGGTAATCATTTATTTGCAAATTATTGATTTTGATTCTAATGAATAATAATTTATTTTTATTTTTCACTATACTTTTTAACTTTTTTTTAATCAATTGCAGAAAATTCAACTAACATTAGATATGCCTGACATGGGTATGGGTGGTATGGATAAATTTGGTGGAATGATGGATGGTATAAAAGATATGATGGGCGATATGATGAACAAAATGCCTAAAATGAGCATGAGTGGTAGTGATTGTGGAGGTGGAGGTGGAGGTGGATACTAAAATTAAAATGATCCAATTTCGCTAAATCCTGAAAATTCAGAAGAATGTCTTTTTTGTATTGTTTCAAACCGAATGAATCGATAATAATTCAAGCTCACTTATGAATGAACACCTCTCTCTCTCTCTCGATTTTCTTTCATGCTCATTATCATTGTCATCATCATCATCATTACCATTTTTTTTGGCCATGCTCATCATCATTGTCCATTTCGCCATCATCCTAATCATTATTGTCAGCGTTTCTTGTCCTCATCATCATCATTTATCATCATCATCCTCATCAACATCATATTCTTTTTTCACTATCAAATAGCTGGTTTATTTGAGTCCTAATAATTACGCAAATGTTCATATTATCAATTGCAATGTCTTTGCCGTTTTTTTTCCTTCACTCTCTCTCAATCGAAAATCCTTTCCTTTTCCCTTTCATCTGCTTTTTCCAATTCCCTTTTCTTTTTTTATGCTGTCTTCCCATTTCAGTGGCTGGACTAAAGATGAAGAAGTTTTTTGCTCATCCTTTTCCTATTCCTTTCCCATTACAGCTTTAAAAAAATTATTTCGGTGACCTTAAATTTCTATCTAAATCATAAATTCTTTATAACAAAATATCCCTACTCGAATTCCCAACACATTTCCTTCTTATTTTTTCCCTTCTGAATCCAAAATCTCAAACACACTGTGGTATCCATCAAAAATTTTTCCAATCCGATCAAAATTGAAAAATTTTCTAGTGCTTTAAAATAGTTAATGTTTTCTTTCTTTTTTTTTACAAAATAATTTGTGTCAAAAAATTTGTTTTGTTTCATTTTTTCAATTCTTATTCCTTGCCAAATGTAATAGGTTTCTTTGCTAAGGAATCTTCTTCTTCTCCTATAAATCTATCTATCTGAATTATGCCAATTCATCATTGTCCTCTATAAATTATTATCCCTTTTTCCTTTTTCGTCAAATAAAATAGTCCCTTATTTTTTTCAATTATTCAAATTTTCACCCCCTATCGAATTTCCATTTCCCAATAAAAAACGTCTCATTATTTTTCATCGATGCTCATTACCATCATAATCATATACATCAATGATCCATCAATATAAATCCTCATCTTCATCAAAATCGTCATTGTCATCATCATCATCATCATCCTCATCATTCAATCATTTCCTGGTTCATTGTTTTCTTTTCCTGTTTTTTTTTCAATCATTCATTTTTTCTGTTGTTGTTGTTCTGTTTAAATTTGCAAAGAAATTGTTGAAACTTTTTTTCTTTGAAATTTTTTTATTATTTTTATTTTTTATGGAAAATTGTTTTTTCTTTACATTTTTTTTCTTCTTCATTTGTTTGTTCTGTTTGTTTTGTTTACTGTGGAAATAAATAAAATAAAATACATTTATGTATGTATGGAAAAAATACAGTATTTTTTAAATAGAAAACAATTTCTTGATTCACCCGAAACGAAACGGAATTTTTTTTATTATTATTGTTTTTAATAAAATTTTTTTTTCATAGAAAAAAAGTAACTGTATCCGAAAACGATATCCAAACAATGAATATTGTTGGTTATATAAAAAAATAAATAACTTAGAAAACAAACAAACCAAAAAAGAAAATTCAATTGGTTTTTCAGCATCATCATCGTCATCATCATTAATATTGGTTGTAGATTGATGATGAACAACAGAAACAGTAATAAAACAATCAAATCTAAGAATACTTTTCCATATGCAGGTAAATTGGAATGATCTAGAAAAAACTGATGAAAAACGTGCTTAAGTGTGTCGATCAATTACTATGATGTTGATATTTTATGTCATTCAATCATTGTTCATCATTGTATCATCAACTATTGTTGTTTGAGTATGTGAATTATTTGTTGAATCATTTATTGTAGATGTTGGTGATGATAAATTATCATCCAAATGAATTGATGGCCAACATTTATGTGCATGTTTCAATACAGCTTTTGTATTATGTTTTTTTATCGTAATTAAATCATTATTCAATGGAGATTGAATTGATGATGGCGAAACTATCAACGACATTGATGATGAATTTGATTGATTTGATGATGAATTTGAAGTGGATGATGTTGTAGATGATAGTGATGATGATAATGAACTATGGAATTCATTTTTAGCTTTTCCATTCGTAATGATTGCAGCACAAGCTGATTGTGAACGTTGAGTAAAATGTTTTTCATTGTGAATCGATATTTGATTTTCGTAAATAATTGAATTTTCATTATTTGCAGCTTCACAATCATTTTTTTCTTCAGGAATTGATAATTTATCTGGCATCGATGCGATACTACCTCTTTTCAATCTGGAATCATTTAATCTAAGCGAATGATTATCATTATTTTTTGGAATTGTCATATTCATAGATTTCATTGATATTGCAGTCAATGCTGTTGTTGTTGTATCAATATCTGATGATATTGAATATGGTTCAATCATTATGACTTGTTTATCATTAAAATTTGCACTGCCATTACAATCAATATTGTTGATTGTCATGATTGTTGATGTTTCATTATTAGATGCCATCATCATCATTTTTGAAGTATTTGTTGAATTTTTGATTGAATTACCATTCGCAACATTAGTGTTGATATCGATATTGTTATTGTTTTTATCATGATCAATTGTTTCATTAATCATTGCTGTAATTATTTGACCATCGGTACTAGCTGTACTTGGCCGTGAAGAATGATATCGTTGTTTGGGCATTTCATGACTGTTACTTCGATGATGATGATTATGATTATGATTATGATGATGATGGTGATGATGATGACGATGATGAGCTACTGGCATATTAAAAACCAAAGATCGATGTCCGCCGCACATGACCGTTTCACGTGTATTTTTCTCCGGTTTTAGCAATGCGATATACATCTATGAACGTTTTTTTATAAATAAAATAAAGATATATAAAGATTGAATTTGTTTTCTATTATTTACCTTAGGCACAAATAGGCAGCATAATTGTACGGCACCTGACACACTCAACAATGATGATAAAGTGATAGCCCGTAATGGTGTAGTTGTCGAAAGCATCACATATAATGGCAAAAATGCAAACCAGACGACACAGGTTGTATAATTGGTGAATGTTATATATCGTGCTTCGTTAAAACCTTCGGGACATTTTCTTGTTTTGAATGCATAAACAGTACAAAAACCAATCAATATGAATGGATAAATTAGACTGATCAGATAGCTAAGATGATCAGATCTACTACAGATGAGCCATGCAATTTCACGATTAGAATATACTAATTTTATATCTGGTGGTGTATGAAAAAACCAGAATATATTGATCAGTATCTGGACTGATATTAGCAAAAAGGTGATAACCAGTTGCGATTGCGGTGAAGTGAATTTGGGTTTTTGACAACTACGATGTGTGAATATTCGGCTAATGCGATTCGTTTTGGTAACTATGGCCGCATAACATATGGTATAGCAAAATCCGAGAAAAAATCTTGTCAATCCACATGTTAATGGTGTTGGTTTTGCCAATATCACAAATGTAGCAGCAAACGAAAGAAAAATACCCGACAAATGTAGATTACTTAATTCACGGCCACTGGCTTTTATGATTGGCGTTTCGGCATAACAGAAAAAGACAATCCACGTGCTTATGGTTGCTAGCATGCCAGTAATAGCAAATATAATTGCTGATATGGTCCACCATTCGGTCCAGCTCAGATAAATGGTCGGTACCAAATGACATTTAGTTTTATTAACATCCGGTATCGTTCCCAATGGACATTCTTCACAATGAAATTCATCAAATAAGTATTGATATTGCGAACAATTTGTACATAGCCAACAGCATGTATCACCTTCAAGTTGAAGTTTTGCCTGACCCTTTGTACATGGTTCGGAACAGAATGATTTTGGAAATCGATGCATATCATGCTTGAATTGCAATAATTTCATCTCTAATTTCAGTCTTACTTTATTGTCATTCTCGTTAACTATATATTTTGTTATGAAATAAAAAATTATTCAAATTAATTTGTAAATATTCATAAACAATTTTACTTACTTATATAGTTACCGACTGGACGCCATTGATATGAACCATTAGAAAGCCGTTGAAAATTAACAATTGTATAACGAGGTGGTGCATCACCATTATTTTGGAAACGAAATAGTCGTCCTCCTTCATCTAATATATCATATGGAAAAAGTTTTCATCATCGTTTGACAATGATTAATGATTTATCGATAAAATCTCACCTCGAAACTGTACTTTTTTCAGTTGTTCAATCATATATTCACCACTGATAATTAACTCTTTCATTTCATCACATAATCCAGCTGTACCATTACAAACATTTTGATGAATATGATTCAATGTCATTGCAAATGAATAGAATGCATCACGAACAAAATGCAATGATGGTGATTGTTGAAGGTGTTGATAATGTTGATGTTCAGTTACATCTAATTTCAACGATTGATTACAGTAGGCCATATCGGGAGATTCTTTTGATTCCGATTCTGAATCCGTTGATGAGGTTGTCGTACCACTATCAATATTCATATTATCTAATGATTCATCAATCATTAGTTTACATCTAAAATGACGTTCCCAGAATTCACGAAACCAGGGATTTAAACGATTACGTTCAGCTGGAAAATCCGGACGTAATGAGCGAAAATAATCGGCAAAACCGCCAAGTGGATAATGTAATGGTGTAACTGATATTGTTCCTTCGACCACCGGTTCAAGACCATGTACAACAAAATCACGGCAACACCAAGCATCGGATGCAATCCAAATAAAACGATCTAAACGGCCACCATTTTTGTTCAAACGTCGCTTTGCTGCTTTCATAATCTTTCGGGCTACATGTGGATCGGTGTAAACAATAACAACTGATAAAGAAAAAAGTTGAAAATTTTTGAAATGATCACAAAAAAGCGATTTTCTTATCAAAAATAAAAATTTATGTTGCTCAACTGTGAAACTTATGAAAATGAATAATTCTCATCAATCAATCATTATATCATGACGGCAATAATTTCGAATAATGTGAATTCATACATATAACAATGATCATGATATACATTTCTCATCATAACAAATTCAATAAAATTAGTTGATACTAATGTTTCCAAACATCGCCCAACGAAAATTAATCGATGATCGTATCAATCATTCAATATTTAGGCGGAAATTGTTGATGTTTTTTTCGCTACTGAATAAATTATTACTTGTATATCGACTATAGAATTATTTGTGGGCTCAAACTTTTTGTTTAGATAAAAAATAATACAAATTCTCTTCTTGTGTTTGTTTTTTCTTTTGATCTGATGTAAGACTGTAAGTTTGTTTTTTTTTGCATTTTTCAAGCTACTATGTATTGTCGATTGAAAAAGTTTCTGATTTTCAAATAAATCACATAAGGAAAATATTTGGATAATTTGATACGAATCATATAGAATATTTGGCGCTAATGATGTTGGGCGCGATTTTCATTCTTTTTCAAATTATTTTCTGAAATTGAAGTTTTAATATAGTTTTTTTTTGTTAAATCAAATGGAAATCTTGTAGATTTAGAAAATAAATAAAGATAGAGATTTGTTTTAATGTGAGGTAAATTGAATTTTGTTTTTTTATTTATGGGCTTGATTTGGAGACTTTTTTCTCTTTTATTCTTCTGATGAATCGTAATGATGTGCAAGATGATACTGTGTACTTTATGGTTAAACAGAACAATTCTTATATACTTTAAAATTCAAATTGGAAATTCTATTAGTTTCCCTCCCAAATTCTGTCAAATATTGTTGCTTGTGTCGGTAATATCATGTTTTTTTACTTAGATTTAATCATCAATTCAGATATTTGAGAAACATCAAAACTTTTTTGAGAAAATAATGATAAGATAGAGAAAAATTTTATTTTGAAGAATTTTCTTTTTCTTTCTGTATTTTATCAACGACAAAAACAACAATAACAACAAAAATTCCAAGACTTTCAATTGCAACTTGAAAAAACTGACTTCAATTCAAATTACAACATACCTCTGGCATTTATTTTATGCATCAATGTTGTTATCAAATTATCATAATCAATTTGTCGAAAACGTTCAACATTGATTGCCTGTGGTGATGATAAACATATATTATATCGTGCAGCTGCTGTTGTCAATAGATCATAGCCATTATTGCCATATTCCGTATCCGAATAAACAACCGAAACGTATGTCCAATTGAATTTTCTATAGAAAAAAATAAATAATAATCAGAATTTTATTCCATGAATTTTCAATATTAAAGTTATGTAATCGTCAGACTGGATGTATGTATAAATTATAGAAAATGTTCCACAATTTTGTTGTCATTTCAAAAAAATCTGTTTAAAAAAATATTCAAATTAGCATCTAGCATCTGTTATGGAATTTTCAATTGCAAAAAAAATCTGTCATTACCTTCGTTAAATCGATGATTTAGGCAAAAACCCACTCACATGTGCACAAATAGATGTTTAGTTTCCGTATACAAAGATTTTATTAAAAACTTCAAATTTATATGAATCGATTGTGCAAAAATAAAAACTCATAAATCATAAGAAAATAGACATTTTTTTCTTTTGTTTGTTTGCCTAATGTATGAATATTTTCCATAGTTTAGTAGAATGTTCTATGAAGAAAAGAAAACCTACGATCTGATATTTGAGACATTTTTTTCCTCTCATGGTTCCTATGAATTTTATTTTACCAATTGTTGTTGTTGTTGTTCCAATTCTAATGAAATTGATGCCATATCTAAATCTAAGAAGCTTTTCGTTAATAACGTTAATGCTTTGGACAAACAAACAATAACAACTAAAAAAAATTCCTATACTCATGAAAATGAAAAGACATAATTTTTCGATTAATAACAATACAACAATCTTTCATCATCATTAAACTTGATACTCAAAATCTTAACTGTAATAAAAGATAAAGTACCATACTTTTTCATACGAAACTTCTATTTGCATAAATATTCAATGAACATTATTGTTTTTTTTTTGTTTTTGTTTAGAGGGGAACAGATGGGGAAAGAGTGAGTAAGAGAAATCAAATAAAAATACAGTAGTGAAAAAAGCTTGTTCATACACACTTCTTGTCCGTTATGATATATGTATCAAGTGTACTGATTCTTTTCATTTCCAATTATGAATTTTTAATTATGAATATTCAATTTTTAGAATAATCATCATTTACAAATATTATGTAAATATTATTAGTTATTTATTAATCATTATCTAATGTATTGTAAGAAGAGAAAAAAATCCTAATAATAAATTATTGATTGGATTGCATCATCTTGTTGAACTTTTGATAAAATGTTATGTTAAGATTTCAATAGTTTACAAAAGAAAATATTAATTACATTTTGTTGATGATAATAATTTTATAAATAAATGTCTATTGATTGTACAAAAAAAGATAAAAATATATTATGTCGATTTCATCAGTACTTAATAAGTAAAGTATATTTGAAAAGAAAAGAGAAGAAAACATCGCAAGGTTTCGTATATAAAATACATGACCGTATTTACTTTTTTAATGAAAAAAATAATATTCATTTTCATGCATGAATCGTTTTAATTTTCATCTTTAAAAAAATTCCATTAAAATGTGAACTTATCTCTTATTCTGGTAATTGTAATTTTTAATCATGTCTTGAAAAGAATTATACTTGGGATCCTCTTATTTTAAATTCCAACAATTCTTATGACTTGAATTCCTTCATATAACAACAGATAACAAAGCCATACAATTGATATTCCACACAATGTTTTGGTAGAAAACAAAAATCCTATTGTCTTAATATAGCTGACTGTAATGATTGGAATCTAAATCATTTTTTAATGATAAAAAGGGAATGTTTTTATTTAGCATTAAGTCAACCAAACTATTGTTGTTGTCAAATGTTTGACTATGAATAAATCAAGGTTTGATTTCGAAAAAAACCACAAAGGAATAATCATTCGATTGATATACTAAACCAAAAAATATAAAAAAAATCGATTAATGAAAAAAAATAGCAACAATCTCTTTTTTTTGTCCACAAGAGAATTGATCTCAATGTTTTCAAATTCGCAATCGATAATGCATTGATCCATATAATAAAATCGATACAAATCGGAATCAACAAAATCAACTTGTCGCCGGAAACACACATATATCATTGCATTCACGATGACAATGTTTCACATATTGTGCCAACATCAAAAAATAAATAAATAAATTGTAATAGATTTATCTATAGTCATACTGATAACGATTTATTCTATAAAATTCTCCAATTTGTTTGGTTTAGAAGAAAAAAAAAATACAAATGATAATGATTATTTGTTTGATGTATATATGCCATCATGACGTATGCAATGATGATAACAATATATTATACATGGTTACTGTTCCAAATAAAATTCCTGTTCTTATTATTAATGTTGAAAATTAAAGAAAATTCTAACCTAATCAATGGTTACTGTTAATTTTATGATTATAACTTCGTAAATGTTTATTGATTTTTTTTCATGCTTCTTCTCTTTCCCATCTTATCTCTTTCTCTCTTTTTAATCTATGACCGATTGAGTCAGTAAATTGATAATTGTGTCAATATAATAATAATAATAATAATTCTTTGTCATATAAACATCAGATAAACACCAGAAATGAATTCACAAAAAAAAGTTAATTCATTTTTTTCTATATAATCAAAAAATTTATTACTATTTTTGTATCTGGTATGTCATTCGTTATTAAAATCGAACATTGATAAACTTTAATATGAACGAGAAAAAAAAACACTTTTAATTGAAAAAATTTTTGACATACATTTACTATTCCATTTAATTCAGTATATGCTACGGAAAAAAATGTTTCCATATTGTCCGAATAATATGGCCCGAAAACTTTTTCCTTTCGCAAGAAAAAATAATCCTTGCTAATATTTTAACAGCAATATTTTCAACAACATCAATATTGTTATTATTATTTGACATCAGAAAAAATTGATCCCATCATTCAATAATCAAGATAAAAAAGTTTTTTTTTTGACTTTATTCTTTCGTAAAAATTGAAGCTCAACATTGGCAATCGATCACTAGCCTAGAATCTATAATGGTTGCCTCTTTTTTGCCCAAAATAAAATAGATTTGTCATTGCTTGTCGAATCTAATTTGAATTAAAATCAATCAGGTTGATGTCATATATAGTATTATACAAAAAAAAGTCAAGAATTTCTATTATTTATTTCCATTCATTTTGCTAATGTATTGCACTTATATGTTTTTTGTTTTTTTTGTCAATGATTTGACAAGTGGAATCTCAATTATAATTGAGCTGAATTTTTTTCATCAGAATCAATATCCAATTGTTCTATATTTTTAATGATGAATACAATGTCATTGGCCCCTTTTGTGTAAATTTATCATTATTGATCAACTAATAAACTCATGAATATTCAAGTTTGAGATAAAGAATGAAAGAATATGAATAACTTGCCTTAGTATATCGATGATGGCATCTACTTGATTCGTATCTGATGGTACTGTGCGAAAAAAATATTGATAAAGTCGTTCATCCGATAATGTTGAACTAGTCGACATGTATGATACTTGTGGTATATGAAAAAGTCTCAATAGATTTGCCAATTGTAATGATATTTCACTTGATTGTCCACCAATAATACCAACTATACGATCTAGCTCACCATTTTTGTACAAAGCAGCCGAATGATCTTGACAATGAAATTCTGGTCGAATAAGACGTCTATTTGAACGAGCGACAAAACTCTGTTATATGTTTATTCCGAAATAATGATGATGGCACAATGTTTGTGTACACGAAGCAAATATTTGTATACAACAGAAAAAATAAAAAACAAAATGAGGTACTGTCAGAAAATAATTTACACATCATATATCAAATATTGGATTTGTAATGACATAATTGCTATTGAAATTAGCGATCAATTGAAATGATGAAATTCTGTTCATCATCATCATCATCATCGTTACCGAATTCATTATTAAAAAATGACTGAATTTAAAAATTTTCATCATTATTATTATTAAAATATTTGTAATGAAAGTGTTAGAAAACACCAAAAACAAACATAAAACCACATACAGAATAATAAACGAAATTGAAAAAAAACATGACTAACCTTGATAAAATCAATTGTCTGTTCCAAGGCATGATGAGGTGAATCACATGAATCCACAGCCAACGCTCCCAAGCGTATACCAGGCAATATCTATAATGTTGATGATGATGATAATGATAATAATGATGACGATGACGATGAAAATAGACAATGAATAAAATTATTGAATATAAAAGTAATAAACAATTTTTTTCTCATTTATAGTGTATAATTCTATCATTATTCTTTCATTCTTTATCATGTTTGTATGTGTAAATATTTCAACATATATTTACATTTTGGATTAAATCACAAATTTCAATTTATGTGTGTCAGGTACAATAACAAAAAAAAATCATATATTGCAAAAAAATGGAAAACTGGTTGCAAAACTAATTCGGAAAATGAATCCCACGTTGAAACGCAAATGTATGACGATTGAAAAAAAAGAACATTCGTTTTTCATTTAAATCATCACTGAATATTTTCACAGAGATTTATTCAGGATTTCCTATTCGATTTTTTATTTTGATTTTTTCCCAGATATTTTAAACAAAAAAAGAAAATATTTAAATGAAAATTGCAATGTTAACATTCGAAAGAAAAAAAAACGACAATTTTATTCAAACTAAAAAATATATACCATAATCCAGCCAAATAATTTCAATTCCAAAATGATAAACTGACAATCATTGAATTTCAATGTCAGTTGAATAAAAACATTAAATTATCATTAGTCTCAAAAATAGAGGAATATTCATGCTTGACAAATGTTCACACGTACTTGCATTCTTTGACCTAACAGAAAAAAATACCCCGAAGGAAATTTTATTTCAAAATTCACATTCGAAAACATATCTTTTTTAACAAAAAAATTCTTGGCGGAAATAATGTTTCATTGTTTCTATTAAAATCACGATTCATAACGAATTATTTAGACGATTTTTCTTTCTTTCAAATAACAGTAACATCACAAAAAAAAATCTAAAAATACATTCAAATGGAAAATATATGTGCAATCATTAGCAGCTAAATTTGGTATCTGGTAAATTTTAAATTTTTGTTTAAAAAAAACAAACTTAAAAATTGAAACAGGCATTCGACGAAGAATATAGTATCATATTTTGTTTGTATATTTGTTTCGAATATAGATTGAATGAAAGCAAAAAAAAAACATCAAAACAATTTAAATTTGGCAAATAATGATAAAAATCTTTAATTGAATGTTGTTTGTTTTGAGCATTTTTTCTTCTTCTTTTTTTTCGGTGTAATGTATGATCCGAAATCGTACAGGATTCTTAATCCGAAAAATTTTCCAAAATCAAAAACAAATAAGTCAAGATCATCTCTCATAAGTTAAATGTTATTTTATTGTATGATTGATGACCAAGATAAGTCGATCGATTTTAGATTTTAACTATTTCATAAGCAATCGGTTCTCGAAATTCGAAAATTGATCAACAATATCAATTTATCATTGTATCGGGACAAGTATACTTTCAAAGTCGATTCTATATTCTTCAACCATAGTTTTTAATTGTTTGTTGCGAATTGTTTGTTTGTTAGTTACAGTTTGTCGGTTCTGTACTGAAAATGTTTTGCAATTTTTTGTTATATTGGAATTTGAAATCGAAAAAAAATAGCAAAATCAAATAGAATTGGCTTAGGAATTTTTTCAAAATTGTTTTTTATAAAAAAGATAGAACATAGAAAAAATGATTGCGGCTAAAAGTTTTAAAATCAAAATCTTATACGGTATTATTTTTAAATTATTGACTTGGTCGATTTAACAGCATTAAAAATTTGAAATGAGAATTTAAAAAAAATTCAAGCATAAATTCTTTCTTTTTTTCGCAAAAATGGTGATTGTCATAAAGCTCGGGTATATAGAGAATCAAAAAGTTTTTCTTTTTTTTTTTTGGTACAAATTTTAAAATGAAATAGCATTTAAATTTGAGCAAACACAACCAATGTTTATTTCGGCCAATTTAATTCATTTTGATTTTTTAAAATATAATTTTTGACTACTTTTAAAAGTAATTAAAGTTGGTCTTATTTTTATGTGTATTCCAAGGGTGAGAAAACCTTGAAAATTGTTGTTATGTCGATAGGGGAAAAAATTCGTCATCATCATTAATTTCAATCCCCGTGTGTGTTGGTTAAATGAATGAGAATGTTTTTTATGTTTCACTAGAAAATTTCAACAAAAAAAAAATTGTGCTACGATCAAAACAACAACAACAACAATTAGTTGCATAGAAGTTCTGGAATCGACAAAATTTATCTAACCAATTTCAAACACTTATTCTCATAAACTATTTTACATTGTTAAACTTTCCAGTTTTTTTTTTTGGTAAGGCGGCAGATTCGGATGCCATGTTTTTTCTCTGATATAAAAAAATCTGCTTATCATATTTCAATGTCGATTTTGTTTTTTTTGTTTGCCATATGATAATGTAATTTCGTTGCAGGAAAACATACAACCAAAAAACCCACAATTTTTCCAATCTCATTATTATTCAATTAAATTGTTTTTTTCATTATAAACTTACATTAGGATCATTATTGATTCGATCAAGAACGAAAATCATCGCTTCTAATTGTTGAATACCTTCTGACTATACGTCGAATATGAAAGAAAGCTTTAGATATTGATGATATTCATTCCCTTATAAAATCATACCTGCAAAACTCCACATGAATAATTTGTTGTATCATGTTGATGGATAGGGAATACAGCACCAAGCATAATATCACCCGGATATTCAGCCATTTGATTAGTTTTTTTTGGTTGTCGAGACAGTTCATCATTATTATTGATCGATCGAAGTAATCGTTTTGATTGATAATCATTCAATTTTAATGTTGTTTGTTTCATTTTGATTATCATTGTATTATCATAACAATTGCTCAATGAAGATGATATTAATATCATTAAAAATATGAAAACAATGTTTCCAAAATGGAATTTGTTTTTCACATTCATCATCAATACTGTTGATCGTCACAAAAAATTTTATTATTGTATTTATCATGATTTGCAAAATTTATTCAATAAAAATGGCCATAAATTGAGGAAATCATTCGATGAAATTATAACGGCCAATTAAAAACTTTAATATGTAACACATTTCTTTCACAAACTAATAATAATAATATACGATTTCAACCAGAGCAATTCTCCATAAATTAATGATTAGCATTATTAAATCAAAGCAGATTAAAATCGAAAAAAGAAGCTTTTCAAACGTTCAAACATATTAACAATGCATAAAAATAATATAACGAAATAATTTGTTAAAGATAATGCAATGAAATTAATATTATCATATCAGAAATATAATCTTTGATTCTCATCACAAACACAAACATAAATGCACAGAAACTGATGTTATTAATAAAACCATAAAAAATTTTCAAGTTATTTTTTCTTTGCGCCACCAAGCAAATAATATTTTGGTCCTGTGTTCTTGATCAGGACTGGTCGAATATATCGGTTGTTTTAAGTTCCTGTTTTAGATCCACGATATTGTGCCTATCTCTATTTTTTTTGTTGTTGCTTCTATACAGTGCAGAATTTTCTATCGACGCACGAATCTACATACTAAATGAGAAAAAAACATGTTCAGTGGGTTTATATGATATGATATGGCTGTCAAGTTTTTTTCGATTATGGCGCCCGCGCCAGAATCGAAAATTCAACTATTTTTTTATTGCCTTCGCCATGCCCAAATAATAGTAAGTATGACAGTTGGCCATCATTTCAGAATGATTCAAGATCTCAAATTACATTTTCTTCATTTCTTACATTTGATTTATACACAACATATAATAATCATCAAAAAATATTGATCCAAAAAACAAACGAGAATCTGGAAAAAATTTCATACTTTTTTAAATATCATTATTTCAAATAATCATTTTTTTTACTCTTGTCAACAATCTTGTAAAAATCATGAGTTTCGAATTTCAACCGAATAAATTCGATTCGACAAATCAATACGTTGAATTTGTTTTCAGAAATAGTAAATTGAATGATTTCACATTGTTTCAATATGTTCATCATTATTTTGACATTATATTAAGATTTTTGATAAAAAAACTGGAAAAAATTTATTCTGTAGTGCTATTCATTCGATGGAAAAAATTCATTGTTATCATTTAGAAATCCATAGCTTTTTTTCGGATCTCTGTTATGAATTTTTGTTATCAAAATCAAATCAATAATAAATTGTCAACAATTTGAAAGGAAAAAGAATTTGAAATAAACAACAATGATGATGTTGCCATTTCAAAATACACATTCAATTCGTGCAAAGAATTTCATGAATAGATAGAGAGAAAAAATGAGAGGGCTCAATGAAGCCAAAAATTGATCAAATCGATAAATCATTCGCTTTCTTCGGGTTTTTCGAAACATTTGTTGGAATTCTTCTTTCATTACATTCGAAAAAAAAAGTTCAAATGTGTATACACAGCTCCGTTTTTATTTTATACCATTTTTTTTGTCACATTCTGGTCCCACAGATAACATAACCGGAAAATGAACTTATCAAACATAAATCATTAGGTTTACAAAATGGAAGCAAATTTTAGCTGCCATTAAACAAAACGTGAATATTTCCGTCAATTTTTTTTAAAGATATTAAGTTTAATCAGTAGAATTTTCCTTGTGCCACAGGAGGTGCCATTGTTCCCATTGGTGATTGCATTGTGGGTGATGGTTGCATTACATTCATCATCGGTGGTTGTTGTTGTTGTTGTTGTGGTAATGGAAGAATTCCTGTAAATTTTATTTGTTGTTGTCCCATAGGGATTTGTGCTTCATTAAATGCCATTGGTGTTACTGTTCCCATTGTTGCATTCTGAAACGGAGATTGAGCTACAGTTTGACCATATGGAGTTATGACTTGTTTTAATCTTTGATGTCTTTGATGTATAGCCAGTAACGTCCTTATTAGTTCTTCTTCGTCTTTCCATTTTATCTTTCTTGGCATGAAGAAATATCGAAAACATAGAATCAATGATAGCATTATACTACTTGTGGTCATTCCAAGCATAAATACTTGAATGTGTTGAAAAAAGCTTAACAATTTTAAAAAAATATCATGATTACTATTATACTTACAGTATACTGATGTACTTATTTCCCCCATTTTTCAAGATTTTTTCTTTAACTTAATTCAATGATTAAATAGAATTTTACATCTTTATTAGTTGTAGAATTGTATTAATTTAAGAACTTTAATTATAAATCAATTTGTCGAGATCGTTTCTGGAACACATTCTCTATGAACGGTCACTTGTTTTGATTCTAAGAAGAATATTCTGTTTTTATTGACACACTAAACTTTTGCTAAGGAAACTAAAGAATTATCTTATGAGATATAATTCCTTTTCAATTCTAGTCATACAAAAGTTTTTTCATAAATTATTCTATATATTGATGAACCAGACAAAATTGAATATCGTCAATCAAAGAAAAAGAATGATATGGGAAACATTTTACTTCAAAATTCACGATTATCATTGAAAACATCATCGATGCCGAATTCAACAATGAATCCAAGAATCGTTGAAAAATTGAATCGGATAAAATATTATTTTGCATCACGTACATCAGCTTATGATGACATTTGGAACATATGCTATCGTCTTTCGGATGAGATTCAAGAACAAGTCCTGGATGTGTTTATCTTGACATTGTAAGTTTTATATAAACTGTGAATAATTTAAATTTTAATCGCTTAATTTTTTAAGTATTGATCATTGGGATAAAGAATTGGAACGCTATGTTCTACTATGTGAACGTAGCCTTATTCTAATGGATTTTGATTTCGAACGTCTTGAGATTCGACAATTATTCATCTATGATTATGCTCGTTTCAATTCAATACGTATTGGTCCATTGATTTATCCACAAATGGCATTAAATTGGTATGTTGATATCCTTATTTTGCGATTAATTTATCTTATGAATTTGTTTCTTTGTTAGCTCTAATCATCGGTTCAAATATGCCATACGATTTCAATGGGACTCACATAAGCCGTTACACAATCGTGACTATTGGAATCCATGGTCCAAAGAAATACCTTGGATCACATTAGCTCAACATCCCCTAGTCTTTTATATTGATGATTTATTGAGCGATGAATATATTAACCACGATGTTTCGAATGGTTCCTCTTTTATTGAAGATCAATATTTTACCGAAGAATACCTCCAACTAATTCGACGACGTTTTTCCATTGAAACCTTCCATGATAAATTGATGGAAATTTTGAATTCGTTTCAAGTACAACCTGTACTCAATTATCCACGACTTATAACTATATCTGGATTGGTTTTATCATCAAATTCAAATGATGATGAAAGTCAGCCATTGATGTTGAACACGGCGCTAGAGGATGCTGTCCGCCGTAATGTTTTATTTGAAATGTATCATTCATCTAATCAATCTCTTACCATCATACATTATGCATGTATAATGTGTGATAATTATTTCAATATACCGTCTATGCTATTTAATCGAATCAATCTTGGCTATTATCGCCTTCGTTTATTTTAAAACGTTTGATCTCATGTTGACACTACTGTATTCATTTTAATTATTGTTAATATTGGTTTTGATTGAGAAAAAATCTAAATTCATTTTGCTAATAATATGAATAATATATGTACAAATTGGGTGCCTATCATGATAATATTTATTATATTAAATATTCTAATCAAGCATATCGATCTCTTTCACTATGAATGAACCTGTGGCGGGTGGATCTCTTGCCAAACGTATTAATGCTTTAATCAGGCTTTTGACCAGTTCTCGTTGTGATTGCATTAGTCGAGCTCTTAATTCCCATGGTTTAAAATAGCCATCATTAAAATTAGGTACATTTTGTCCAAGATTTCCGTCCAATACACGACCGTTGGGCAATTGAATAATATCTCCAAGTATGTCTAAGCCACCATGTTTGGTCACCAATCTTCGTTGAGCCTCGTGCCAATATTTGCCCGGTATTTTTTTCCTGTTAATGAAATTAATTATTAAATTATAATGTCAACAATATTATTTATTGCTTTGAAATAATCGGCTAGCACTTGTATATTTCGCTTTGATTTGTTGAAAAAATTGGTAACTTATTCTGATTCAATCATTGAACGAAAAAAGAAATCTTCATTTAAAAAGGCAAAAAAACATAAGAAAAAACGTCGTCGTCGTCGTCGTTCTTCTCCGTTGAATCAACGACGAAAACAGTTGGAAAGTAAACTTGATCAAATGATTGATAAAGATCTGGAAGAATTTCGTAAGATTCCAAAAGACCAACTGCAGAAATTCATGGCTACATTGTTACCCGAAAAACTAAAAGAAGAAAGCCATTTCGAAGAACTTCAGAAAAATTATATAAATCCTGTACGTGAAATGATACAAACATCACTGGAATCTGCTGGTCAATTATTGAATCAAATAAAGCCAGGAACATCAACTGAGAGTTCTTCTAGTGAAGAGGATGAGGAAAGTACGGAAGATGAAGAACAAAGTAGCGAAGCAGAAGAAGAACAAGAAGAAGAAGAAGAAGAGGAACAACAAGATAATGATAGCAAGACAACATTAGATATTCAAGAGACAACTAAAAGTGTGAATGGAATCTTATCCAAACAACCAAATCCAAGCATCACAATATCAAAAACACTTTGTGTATCTGATCAAAAAATTAGCAATAATGTATCTATAAATCTATCCGAAATGAACAGAATGATAAAAGACATGGAGAAAATGACAAAGATTGTCGATCTGAATCAAAAACAAATGAATAAATTGCCACAAAAACCAAGTAATAAATAAGTCTTTAAATAAAAATGATTTTGAATCAAGCACTTACTTTTTATACAATATTATTGGATGATAATGATGATGTCTGACTTTTTTGTATGGAAATGGCGGCTGATGAATGGACGAATAATGTCCGGCAATTTGTTTCAATGAATGTGGAACAGCTTGTGGTGATTCAGGATACATTTTATGATATTTAGGTTTTTTATACGTATATTGTTTTGCGGATTCTTGTACTTCAGCTTCAGCAATAGCTGCTAATGTATCTGCTGAAGCATGTTCTTTGATTAATGGTAAATATTTGGCTGTATCAACTACGACGAATTTGGTTTTGGGTCGAGATTTTTTCGATTTACTAGGTTTAGCATATGCAAATATAGTGTAATCCATGAGTATGATTAGACAAAAGCCGATAATGATCAACCATATTGATGGCACTTTGAACTGTAGTTGAGATCTTCGTATGCAAAACATTTCAATAGTTAAATTTTTTTTGAAAACAACCCTATTCCTATGAATGATGAACACAACAAAAACAATATGTTCATTTGAATCGAATGTTTTTTTCGGTAGTGATGATGATGATGATGATGATGATGGTTAAATGTTAAGAAATTTCGAAGCGAAACTTATTCATGTGTTTAAAGAAAGAAAAATGTTCATATGCGGAAAATAATATTTCCAATGACGGTTATATCGAACACCACGGTTGAACGATCATTGGGTTTATCATTTTTTAGAACTCAAAGTTTCTGAGAGAAAGAAGAGTTAGTTTTTAACGTGTGGCGGTAACATGGTAAAAACAATTATAACAAGGATATTGATAAATATTTTTATTCAGCTAATTTAAGCGTTTTCAAGTGATAAAAACTAAAATTATAACCAAATTGAAGAGAAAAAAGTCAAAATATATTCCAAAAACGAGAGTATTTTCGCCGAACAGTTATGAATGTGAAAGTTTTTCATCTTATATCTTATCCGGTTCGAAATCATCTATCAATTTGAATTTAAGACATATAGCGAACATTTTTAGCATTATTTTGTTTCAAACCTATTATATAAATAGGTACATGTCATAATATATATGTCAATTCATTTATTGATCTCTTTCAATATCGGTGATTATTATTCATAATGGAAAAAATATTCATTACTCAATGTTTGTATTACTTGTCACTTTGATTTTTGTGGCAACCCTTCGTTTAACTTCCGTTAACTTTTGTTAATTATGTTTAGCTATTTATCCTGATCAATGATGAAAGCGTTTCCATAATTAAAATGATCTAGTCTGATGATGATGAGGTTTTTATTTTTCTCTCTTTATCTTTTTTTTACTCTTCAAAATAGATTGTCGAGTTTGTCGACGATCTATTTTCGATATTTATTTTTTTAAATTGAAATCGAACAGACTGATGTATACATTCGAATAATCTTAAACCTGGTTATATAAGGAAATTATCAAGGAAAAAAACTTAACGAAATATTTCGAAATGATATATTGATGGAAAAATGACGGATTTTATGAAAATTTTATTTTTACCAAGAAAAAAAATTATTCATTAATCTTGAGAAGAAAACTAATTTTGGAACAACGTATAAAGGGATGCAAATATGTTTAAATTTTAACTTAGCAATAACTAAGTTAAGAAAATTAATTAAAATCCATTTTTTTTGATTTTTTTATTGTAAAATTTAAGATATCATTCGATTAGGAAATAGGGACAAAATATAAGACAAAGATTGAATCGTTTTGGTAGTAATCGGTTTACATATCTCTTTTGATAAATTGTCAATTTTTCAATAACAGTCATTGATTTAAAACTTTCGCTTCATGTCTTCAGATAACTAGATGGGCAGGATGTATAATGATAGTATCATTGTAAGGATGGGATCAAAAGAAAAATTGTGAAACTAGTTTATTTTTGGGTTGGGTAGGATGAAGAGCTTCTGGAGCTGTAGCTGCTGTAACCATAGCTGGCTGGTTGGACCGAATATGAGGAACCATATGAACCACCACCGAGCAAACCAGATGAAATGCCGTAACCGGAACCTTGGCCGGAACCGTAACGAGCACTGTATCCTAAACCGTAACCAGAAGTAAGGCCGGAACCGTAACCTGAAGCAAGGCCGTAGCCTGAACCGTAACCGGAACCGTAACCAACGACACCAGCAGCTGGAGCAGCGATGACAGCGTAGGTAGCTGGGGCAGCGGCAACTGTTTGGACGGCTGGAGCGGCTTGGACAGCATAAGAGACGGCTGGGGCAGCAGCTTGAACAGCAACGGCGGCTGGGGCAACGCGTTGTTCAACTCGAGCTTGTTGTTGGTAGTATCCTCGTTCTTGGCCTCGTGTCAAGACTTGGTGGACTGATTCTTGGACTGGTTTCAATTCTTGAGTGATTCGTCGGAATGGAACAATGGTTTCGTGGACATCTTGAACAACTGGTTTGACGATGTCTTGTCGCAAGACGTCTGGTTGTTCTTCGTATGATGCTTGTTGTGGTTCAGCTGGGGCAGTTGGAACGTGGTTCTATAGTGATTTGAAAAGGATAAAGAGATTAAAATTTGTCTAAAGTCTTTTAAAGATGAAGTTATCCTTACTTGGGAGGCAGCCAATGGTGAGGCTTGGGTTTGGAATTCCAAGTTGATTGGTTGGACATTTGGTCCAATGACAACGGTGTGAGCGACTGGAGCTTCTTGGGTGGAGGGAGCATCGACAACTTCAACTGTTCGTCGTGATTCGATGGCAGCATGAATTGGACCGGAAACTTGGGTGCTTTGGGCATGAATGGCTGGAGCGGCAGCATATGAGTAAGCTGGGGCAGCAGCTTGAACAGCAACAGTTTGAACGGCTGGAGCGGCTTGGACAGCATAAGAGACGGCTGGAGCAGCAGCAACTGCTGGAGCGGCTTGGACAGCATAAGTGACGGCTGGGGCAGCGGCGACTGCTGGAGCAGCGGCAACGTAACCGATAGCTTGAGCTGGAGCCAAAGCGATAGCTCGACCATAACCGGCACCATAACCTAAACCGGAACCGTAATTAGCTCCATAACCCAAACCGTAACCATAGCCAAGACCACCAAGACCGGCAACACCAGAGATACCAGCACCTCGGTAGTATGAACCACCTAACTGACGTACACCACTTTGGTAGTATTGATAATTTGCTGGTTGGCCGTAAACGGCAGCAATCAAGCTGGCAACAACGAACAAGGCGAACTAAATAAAATGATAAATATTAGAATATGTACAAATAAATTGGGTGATAAGGTTAGAGAGTATATAGAAAGATATTCGAAGAATTGAATCAGATCGAAATTCATTCAAATTACTAACTTTCATGTTGAGGGTTTTGTTGTATCGATGTTTTTCCAAAAGGGATTTAATCGAATGATGATTTTCAAATAGTGATTCCATCCATTTATATACGAAATGAATCCCATTAAGGAATTATGGCACAATGCAGAGCAAAGCTTAGCCGCTATCGTCAAAAGTCGGTATCATAAATCGTCTTAGAATTAAAACAACTAGTTGGAAATGGTACGATAATTAGTATGGAGGATGGAATTTCAACATTCACACACATTTCAGGTTAAAATTTCAATAATGAGGCAACCTTTTTTTCCCCAATGATTCGTCGATTATGTTGATCATAATGGTGATTTATATGAGCAGGCATTGATTTCAATGTACATGAATGAATGTATGAAGATAATGGCTTTTCAACAAAGAAAGATACACCTCTTTCTTTCCAAAGCCATCTAGTTTTAAGCATACGAAGGATATTATCAAATAAGAGAAGATGTTTTGTTTCAATCATCATCAGGATCATTATTCGAATTGAAACGTGTTCCAGCAATTCACGTACGAACGTATATTATGACAAATCAACTATTGATCGATATTATTTTCAAATGAATACCTATGTACAATGATAGAGAATAGAAAATTGAAATAGAAACATGCACTATTTCAAATTCTAAATATTCAATATCTATTAGTCAAATTATTCTTCACTACTATAAGATCATCATTGATGAAATATCGGAATTTGGCTTTTTTTAATTAAAAGATGATCAATCAATAATTGATATGACTAAATTAAGGGTTTCAAGTTTATCAATTAATTTGTTAACTAAAATGGAAATTTTAAAAAAAATTTCATATACATAAAGCTTCACTAAGTTTTTTTTTGCTTTTAATTCCATTAAATGATGATGACAATTTCGCATTGTATGACAAGAATGATAATATTTAAAGAGAATTTTTTTTGAAAATGTCAATTCAAGGTCAAAATTGTCATCATCATTACAGATTGAATTATGAATTTCATTCTTTCTACGTAGGGAAAAAACGCCGCAAATTCATGTCTGAAATTGAAATGAATTTAGTTTTTTTTGAAAAGATCAAAATTTGATGATAAACATATATACGTTGAAGATGAAAACAACAATGTTCAATACGACGAGCAAAACAAAAAAAAAGATGATCTTGAAATATTTGTCGTCAATGAATGAATTGCTTTGTTGGAACCGACAGAAAAATAAAATGATGATGTGTAAGTTCATAAAAGGATTTAGAATTTATTTTCCTGTTTTTGAATTATTCTTCAGGCATTAAAAACAAATTATTAACAATTTTCAATAAAATGATTTCATTGTTCACTGACATAATTTGAATGAAAATTATTAATCATCATCCACGTGAAAATTAATTAATTTGAACATTTATTTACAATCTTTAAATGATTCATCCGAATTTGAAATAAGAAATTTGAATTTTTTCCAAATAAATTCATTAAATGTTAGAATTGTTGTTTTTTGTTCGAGAATGTCAATTATTTCAACAACAGAAATATTGATTGATCGATTGACTGACCAAATTCTTGTTGATCTTGAAATGGAATTAATTTTTATTTTTGCAAAGATAATTTGAATTAATTTATTTCAAATCTTGAAAAACGAGTAAATTTTCGATACATATCAGTAAATCAATAAACATAATGATGATGATGAGAGTTTCGAGAAGGAAAAAGGATTTCAAGATTGAAAATATCGATTTGAAATGTATGATAATGTTCAATACTTTGAAAAAATATCCTTTTGGAAATTTCAAAGATTGTAATGAGAGTACCAAGTGACCTTGTTACATCTTTTAATTGTTCTACGATATTGATAGACGTCATCATCAACATCATCATCATCATTATACAGTTGTATTATTCATTCTGGATCGGGTACGTGATTTTTTCAAATTTTTAATTCGGAAAAATTTGTAATAATTAAAATATTGAAAATAAAAAAATCCTGATGAATTGATTAATGGTACGATTTTGAAACAAAAATGAAAAAACATTTATGCAATAAATTCATTAATTCTCAGAACTTTTTCTTGAAAAGAAGACTTATGCTCAAACGAAGATTGTTACCTCAATGAATACGTCAAATAATGTGCGCGAGGCTTTTGAATAAGCGTGAAATTTAGATCCTGATCAAACAAAAGAGGCGCTAAATCTTTTATAATTTAAACACAAAATTGGTAATGAAAAAAAACAAATGCGAAACTGAATTTTCAATTGACAATCAATCAATAATATGGAATTATGTTTATAAAACTATTCATTGAGGAACAGACTTTGTCTGACATTTCAATGCCAATATCAATGATGTTCAACCGACCACTCACGAACACTCGATAAAAACCACATTTTCAATTTATTACTTTTCATTAATTTATCAATTGTTTATCTTTATAACTAAAGATTGTATAATAATCCAAAGTGATGCAAAATTTTTTCCAATGAATATATCTGAGACAACAAAAAAAAAACTTTCCGCAATTGAATCGGGATGGCGTTAGGTTCGGATTTTGTTCTTTTTTTTGTAATAAAATACAAATTACCATAAAAATAAATTCACACAAAGATTTGTATTAGATTTAGTTTTTTTTACAAAATATAATCAGATAGTAAATTGATGATGATCGGATTTCCCATCGGATTTTTGAATCTAGATATAACCGGACTGCAATTTATTTCTATTTTTTAAAAAGCATCATTATTCAGAATTTTTATCATTGATCGATGATAAGAATTATTTACGTCTTTATTGCAAACCACGAATTAATTCTAATTCAAAAAAAAAAAAACGCTTGTTAAATTATTATATGAACTTTTTATCAATTGTTTTTCATTATATCATATTCAGTCTTCGATGAAGATCACTGCTAGCCTTGAAAATGTCAAACCGTTTTTTTCTTCAACAACATCATAATGTTATTTTTTTTGAAAGTTAAGAATCATAAATCTTTTATTTATATTTTCAATCATTTTAGTTCCAAAATTGAATATTAAGAACAATTAATGTGTTTTTTTTTTGGGAAGAGCATCGATCAACAACAGTTGTTTACTTTCGAATCTCATCATTAAATGGAATTTTTTTTAATGATTAATGACATCAATATGAATTCTCGATTATGTTTATCTTAATTGATCGAATATTTATCTGTAAAGAATATTTTTAGCAAAATTTTATCGATGACATACATAACTAGTTTTATCTATAAAATCATTATATCAATGTGGTTTAATCTAATAAAATGTTTTATGTAAATAGTCAGGAATTTTCATTGATAAACAGCAAAAATAATTACTTATTTTTTATTCATACTATGGAAAAACCCATCATATTGACGACAAGTTAAAACATTGATGAATTGAATATTAACAAAAAACAAGATAGTGAAATGAGCATCATCATTGATTTTAATTATTATCAAACTTTTTTTCAAATTTAATCAATAAAAAATGATGACTGCACACTGGTATCTGGAATTAACAATCATCCATCAATAAATCCTTTTAAAATTGTCATTGAATGCAAGATGGTCAGATATTTTTTTTCTTTCTACAGCAACATTTTTTTGACGAAAAAATATCACATTGTATTGAAACGGATTAAAGACTTAAGCTCGATTTTTTTTCAATCATTACCAAAAACGGGCACATTTCCACGTGTACATGATGATGGAAAAGATTTTCCTCTTTTAAATGTTTCAAGGTTTTATTTTTCTCATCATTATCGACATCATCAATCATATTGAATGTGTTAAATGGGTAGAATTTTTGTTGCTTCTTCATTTCAGAAAATTTAATATTTTGAAAAGTTTCAAACTTCTTGATGAAGTTATCCGAAAGAAAAAATTCCAATAACTAATTGCCATTATCATTCAAAGATTTTTTTCTCCATTTGGAATGGTTGTTTCAAAAAAAAACATAAATAAATTCATCAATGTTGATTATGATTATGATATCGACGTTTATAATTTATTCAATTTTTCAAGATTTTTTTATTACTTTTTTGTGTGAAAAAGAAAAAATTGTTTTTCTTTTTCATTAAGACAATGATAAATATGGGATTATAAAATCTGCTTGTATTTTTTTACTGAAATTGAAAAAAAACTGTATTGAAATGTCTGGAGTTCTCATTGCGGTGGAAAAGACAATTGCGATAAGGTACGTTGTTTGATTTTGGTCAACATGGCCGGATTTTTCATTAAACGATCCTGTATCAATTTTACTTGTCGTTGACGAATTTTCGTAATGAAATGCATAACGATAAACAGTAACAAGGCAAAATTGGAACAGAAAAAACTTAGATATACAAGATACAATGGTTTTGAACAGATTTCAGCCAAAAGAATAGGAAATATTGCCGTACCAGCTCCTCCTGCAAACAAAAATATTGATCCAATCACATTCGTAACATTAATCTGATGTTCTAGAAAGGTGTATGCAGTAGCATAACATGATGAAAATCTACAAAGATGTAAGAAAAATTTTATAATCTAAATGAAGCTTAATTTCAAGGATACATACCCAAAACCGATGACAATGTTACCGATCCAAAACCATAACAATGATGATTCAGAACAACTCAAAAGAATATAGTTACCAATGTTCATTAAAATAAAATTCAGATAAATCATGTGTTCTGGATGAAAGTGGAAAGAAGCCCAAGTTGCCAAGAGACCACCAATTGCATACGCAGAACCGGTTGCTGCTTCCAGATTGGCTGACATTGTGCCATGTATTGGCAATGGAACAGCGTTCGAAAATTGTGCCAAAAATTGAAAAAACGTAACCTCAAGTCCATAGTAAGACCAAAGCATGACAGAGCCAAGAATAATAATCGATATTATGTAGAAGGATGGCAATGAACGCTTCCAAAGCTCAATCTTTTCCGATCGTGTAAGCTGCTTAGGCATTTGCTGATCAAATGAAGCTGGTAATTTTCGCTCCTTAGGTGGCACATAACGTTTATATAAGAACAGTCCAAGAAGAATAATCCCACCAGCAGATACAATTAGACCGGTAATCAAATATGGGATGAAAAGTGTCCGCCGTCGGTGTTCAATTTCATCATCGGACAAAATGCTTTCTATTTCAACTGATTCACTAGATGAACATCCTTCGGAATCGCCTGAATGCAAAAACTGAGCTGATATTAATGGAGCAGTAGCAACACCAAGACCAAAGGAGAAATGCAAAGCTTGAAGTAATGGTCCACCACCATTCTGAAACATTTCAAGAATCCAAACATGAAAACCAACATCGCAGGCACCGGCAGCAAAACCGTTTACAACGGCAATCAGAAACAGCCACAGAACATCTGGAACATATGGAGTGACCATCAATGATGCGCCAGACAAAAGTAGTAAAGCAATCAAAAATAACTGCCGATTTACATAGTCAAAAGCGATGCCACCTATTACGAAATAATAAAACATGAATCAGACATAAAAAGGAAAAAGAATCCTACAATTACTCACCCAATGATCCAAACGTATAAGCCAATTGACGATAAACAACAAAATAGGCAATACGATCGAATGGAACGCCCAATATTGATGAAAGATCATTAAATGTAGGACCAAAAATGTAATCATTCAAAGCAAGTGAATAATAACAGAACCAAAGAACAGCCGAGGTAACCAATTTATAACGTTTAGTCATAATCTGCGTTTGAACTGGACCAGAACCCCATGATACCATTGAAACAGTGCGGCGAAGATCTTCACGTTGGTATTGATGAAAAAAAGCTTCATCACTACTTGCAATAGATCCGGCAATCGATATTGCACCTAAACCATCACTTGTTGATCTTGGACAGATATCAGGCTTCCGTTTAATACGTTCATCTTCTTCGGATGGTTTGAAAATGTTCATATTGCCTACGATGCCAATCTGCTTATTATGCCGAACAAGCATACGAATCATCGATAATTCATTTCGTTCCGCTATTTCTCGTTCTTCACGTAACCGACGTTCTTCATCAGTTTCATCGAAATTTGAACCATTTTCTCGTTCCGTTTTGGAACATTTTTGTTCACTAATTGTTAATGGCTTAGTCATCATGGATGAAGCAGACGGTTGTGATGATGATGGTGGTGGCTTTGTTTCATCCACCATGTTGATAACAGGTACAGTAGATTTGGATTCGTTGTTATTTTTATCCATTGCTCGTATCTAGATCAATAGCATATATTTTGAATTCGGTCCAATTTTTTGGATAAGGTGTATGATATTTAAAACGTTGTTTACTTAATAACCAATCAACAATACGATCGAATATAAATTTAATATTCACACGACCGATAATACATTGATCAATTATGATAATAGGGTGACAGGCTCCACCAAAATTTGTTCTTAACGGAACTATTAGGATCGATTTGTTTTGATGATTCGAACGTTTACGAGTAAATTTTCTTTTCCACTTATTATAATTATTAATTTTAATATTTAAATTGATTGTTGGCATGAAATGTAAACGATAGAACAAAAATTTTTAATGAAAAAAATAAAAATTGCAAAAAAATCAGAAATAAAATGAAAAAAGGATCATGAAAAAAATACGAGTGTTCTATAAACAATGGTCGAAACGAGTGACACCGATCGGATGAAACTCGATTATGACCAAATTTGTCCCAATTAGACATACATAAATACTGTGATAAAAACCAAAAAAAAGTGAAAAACAGAAATTTAATTGATATTATAAAAAAAATCTTATCAACAACAACAAAAAAAAAAAGAAAGAATTAGAGATACTAAAATGTAATCAAACATAAATTGGGTTACATAAAACAATAGAAAGTCAGGATTTCATGCTGCCTGGATCCATCACAACTAATGATAATGGGCCATAAAAAACCAAATACATCTTTCTAACATGTGGATCATGTGTTTGATATACATCACTATATTTATATGATTTTTGATCATTTTTCTCCATGCAAATATATTTCAAACATATTGGCCATAGAGAAATTCTATATCTGATTCTTATATTGAGATTGATGAGTGAAGGAAAAAGACAATATTCAAGATCAAGAAGACTTTAGACTTTCATTGGGTTCGCTTCTTTCTAAATCATAATAATATGAATGAATCATATCAAACAAAAAAGATCAAGATCATACTATGTGTTTTTGTTGTTGTTGTTGTTGTTTTGAACGATATCCTAACCTTGAATATTAGAAAATTTCAATAATTCAATTCAATCTAATCGAAAACGTTAATCAATTAAGCAAAATCTGTGAAATTTTTATCATTTCCTTTTTTTAAAAATTAATAATAGAATATAAATCGTTAAACCAGTCATATTGAGAATCATTGATTAAATATTTTTTTTTTAATCCAGATAATTTTTTTCTAAATGACATTGTTAACTATAGTTCACTGGAAAAAAAATTGTTATTCGATTAACAAACAAACCAAAAACATCCTTGGATCATCATTGATCATTACCATCATTATCATTATTATCATCATCATCATCAAAATAAGACTCCTACACATTTAAGCCTTTTTGAATGAAAGACAACAAAAAAATAAAAAATTAAATTTCGCACATCAGAAAAAAGAATACACGTGGATTGATATACATATGCACACAAACAAACAAATTCCACGTTGTAACAAATTGAAAAATAAAATTTTAAAAAAACTGTTCAATGAAAAAAAAATTTCTCATACCTGCCCTTTTCTTTAAAAAAAAATTTGAATCATATTTTTTCCAAAAACAAAAAAAAAACAAAATTATTATTTGTCACTCGGACATCGACAGGTGAAAAAAAAGATCTAGAAAATAATAATAATAATAATTTATAACTTTAATGATCTTGAATTAAAAAACATCATCATCATCAAACAAATAAAATTTTAATAAAAATCTGTTGTTTTTTTTTAAATTTCGGATAAGATCATTTTCTAACGGCTTTTTGTATTAATGTTTTTTTATTATGGCAACAAATAATAATGATTGTACAACAGTATATGTGGTCATAAAATAATTTGAAAATTTTTTCACCAATTTAATGACGATGTTTTTTTCCTCTTTTTGTGTGCGTGTTTCCATAGTTTGAATGTAAAATAGGATTGTTTTTCTCCGAAATTTTTCTGTGTAAATGTTTGGTCAATTGTGAATTATGATAATCATTGATACTAATAGAAAACAATTGGCGAAAATTTCCAAATTTTTATCAATTAAACAGAAAAATAAAAAATCAGAATAACTTACCCAAAAAAAAAATATTAGGATGTTGATAGTATAAGATGATATAGATAACAGAAAAATAATATTATCGGAAAAAATGTGTACAATGATATTGGTTGGCCTGATGATGATGATAATTGATCAAATGTGTTTAGTCTAAATTTTGATGTCAAATTAAATGGGAAAAAATCATGTGTGTACTTTTTGATTTGTTTGTTCGTTTTGATATTTTTCTTTCTGGTTTGCAACAAAAGGAACTTGACCCAAATTTTTTCAAATAAAAAACATTTAATAAAAGTTAAATGAATTGATGTTTAAAAATCAATTTTAAATATTTATTCATTAAAAAAATACAAATCAGCAAAATTTTCTTAACAAATATAGTTGAATGTAAAAGCTCCATTCGGATGACAATAGTTTCAGGAATTCTTAACGTCTTCGTCCTAAAATAACAGTACCATCACCAAATGCACCGAATAATGAACCCAACGTTAGCATATGACCGAAATGACCAAAACCATCATGTCCACCATGTCCATGACCACCGTGACCAAATCCACCAAGAATGATAACATCACCACCACTTCTTGCTTCGACTAATGATTGAATCAATAATGATATGATGAAAATGATAGCCAATATGAATCGTAATCGAAATTGATTTGAATTCATTTTTGGTAACAAAGTAAATGCTATGAAAATTATTTGACAAAAATCTGTTCAAATACAATGATATGACAGTTGAAATGATTAAAGGAACGATTGGCGGTTTTTATATGAATTTAGTGGATTAGATTTCACAACTTAAAACAAAGAAAGAGAAAGTGAAAAAGCCAAAGACCATCGAACCATATCAAAGATTATTGATTTTTATTATATTTTTTTGATATCAAAGAAAATAAAATGTCCCGGACACATTTAATATGTCCGTGAATTTAACAATCAAATAAATTGATTGAATAATTACATTCATTTACACTTCTGTATTGATTAGATGATGATTAATGATGTGTGCGTGTGTTGTACCGAAATCATCATCATTTTTTCCATTCAGCATCATTAAATTTAGATTTCAAAATTGAAAATGATAATTTAGATAATCATTCAATCATATTCGAATTGATAATGAGTTTTATTTGCATAATCAATGGCCATGAACTCGTATTGTGAAAATAATTTTAGCTTTTTTAATTTTTCGAAAACAATCTTATTTGAAATAAATGTCAAATGATCCAAATCAACAAGTGTTGCGTGTCAAATTACACTAGGGTGTGCAAAAATGTATCGAAATTCATGAATCAAAAATAACAAGGAAAAAAACGTTGAGGAAAAAATTCGAAAAATATCTGACCTATGAAATATTTGGTCAATTTTATTTCTGGTTCAGAATTAATAATGATAATGATGTTTATTATTCGAATTCGAATCATTTTGTAAATGTTGCGATAGATGGCGATATTAAAGCGAAAAAATTGACAACATTCTTCGAATAAAACGAGAAAAAAAGAATAAAGAACGAAATTCCGCAAGATAGTTTTCCATAACATGAAAAAAATCAAATCAAAAACATCTCATACCAAACCTCAAATAATAATAATCATAAAAAACAATGATCATCGATAACCGAAAATAAAACCAAATATAAACCAAACGAAATTGATTGCGTATAAATAAAATAAAAACAACACTGAAAAAAAATAATACAAACGACAAACAAACCATAATTCCAAACTGGAAATTGTTGAAATCAAACATAGAATCCAGAAAAAATCGAATGAATTCAAACAATAACAATTGGTATTATAATAATAATAAAAAGAAAAACGAATAACAGAAAAAAAAGAAAAGAATTGTAACAAATTGTTGTTTTTAGATTTGAAATCTATATACAATCCACACATATCAGATGTCATTTCAGTCAGTTTGTCATTGTGTGCGTGTTTTAGTGATCCAAAACAATAAGACAAACGATGTTCCAAGCTAAACCAAAAACAAAAACAAAATATTTGACCAAATTGCCAATCGTTATTGTTTTCTGGATACATATACCTCCTAAAATGTGGTAATTCACTTGGTTTTTCTTAGTCAAAAGTTCTTTCATTTTTTCTTTTTATTTCTTCTTCCATTTTTTTTATTCACTCACTCTATGGTTATATATGTTACTATTGTTCAAGAATATTTTCTTTTCTTTTTTGCTTTCACATTGTGTTTATTATTACGAAAACGAATGAAAAATTAAAAGAAAACATTTCGGAAAATACAAAAAAACAGAATTGAAAGAAACAGAAAAAATTTCTTTTCTTTTCTTTTTTTTCACAATATGTGTAATGAATGTATGTATGCGATCGAAAGAATAATATTTGTTTGCAGAATCGGAATGAAAATGAAAATAAAAACAACAAGAAATACCAGAACCTGCACATGACAATGATGATGATGATTGTGGTTGTGGTGATGATGAGAATCAGAATCGTCGAACCAAAGAGAGATCATTAGTTTAACCAGAAACGGAAAACAAAACAAAAAAAACGAAACAAAACAAAGCCACAAGAATTTGTTTCTTTCTTTTTTTTCACTCTCACAAAAATTGTGTTTCGATAGATGTTTCTGAATTGAATAATGACAAAATAAAAAGAAAATGTACATTTTTTTGCTGTTCTGGTTATAGTGTACAATCCAGTAACAGCAGTATAATTGAAACGAAATATTTTCCATATGAATATGATGAAAAATATTTCAATGTGATAATATAAACAACAAATCAGTACAAAACATTCAAATGAAAACAAAACAAAACAAGGCAAAAATTTTGAATCATTTTTTTCAAAAAAAAAAAAAAAAAAAAAAAAAAAAAAACCGAATTAAAAAATTTTTTTTCAAAAAAAAAAAAAAAAAGGAAAAATTTCCTTTTCAAAAAAAACCC